GACGGCAGGGTCGCGTGGTTTTACAAAGGAGCCAAGGAAGTTTTCCTCGCCAAGAACCAGAGAAACATTTTGAAAGCGAACACGCTTGGTAAGCTGTACCATCGGTTCATTCGTGCGCGAGCTCTCGGCTTCCTCCAGTGTGCCCTCCTTCTGGAACAGCAAGGCGGCCTCCCTGGTCGCTCGTGTGAGACATCCTCGCACATGGTCCGTCTGCACTGGTCTGCGGCTGAGATCGCCAGGGCGAGCAGCTCGGCGATCTTCCTCGACTTGTCCAATGCTTTCTATTCGGTCATTCGGCAGTTCGCTCTCTCGCTTCCCAAGGATCAGGACGACATAGCGCACGTACTGCAGGAGTGCGAGCTTCCAGAAGTCTTGGAAAATGCGGTCCTGCTCTGCTCCAACTGGAGCACGAGGTTCTTGTTTTCGAGGAGTTTCTAGAGCCCTCTCATCTGCTTGAGCTTCTCCAGGAAAGTCAAACTGGTGCCTTCTGGAAAACGGAGGGAAGCCCTGACTACATTCGGCCGCGAACAGGTTCGCGACCAGGCACCATTCCCGCCACGGATGTTTTCAATCTTGTGTTTAAGAGGATTCACACTTTTGTCGATCAGCCTATGATGCAGGAGGATCTGGTTTGGCCCGCCCCCCCCCCCCCCCGTCGCCCCCTCGGCTCGCTTCTCTCGAAGACAGCGCGCGGATCAGGCCCACCTTCTTCGTCGACGACATGCATATCGTCAATGCCACCCACAGATCCGATAGGATTATCCCTGTCACTCAGAGGACCCTAGATATTTTCGACGAGGCGGTCTGCAGAGTAGGCATGAGACTAAATCCTGATAAGACTGTTGTCATGTTCAGGTTTCGGCACAAAGGGTCTCGCGCGCAAGCTCCCTTGCTGCATGCAGAAGACGAGCCAGCTATCACTTCTCCCAAGTGGGGAATACGGGTGTTGGTCGTGTCCACCCATCAGGTGTTAGGGGCTAGAGTCTCCCAGGACGGCTCCATGGCCCCCGAACTGACCGCCAGGATCGTTGCGGCGCGACGGGCCTTGAGGCCTGTCAAGGCCACCATCAGCCCTCGCGTTGCTCTCTCGGTTCGGGCTAAAACCATTTTGTCCGAGGCGCTCGCTTCCACCGTCCTGTTTTTTCCTCGGCTACCTGGGGCCATCTCACCGCAAACCAGCAGGGGAAGCTGCGTGCTGCGCACCAGGAGATTTACCGTTTCGCGCTTAATCTTCCCAAGGCGAACAACGCGGATATGCATGATTCGTATCTCAGCGTTCTCATGAGAGTGCAGCGTTTACCGTGGTCGGCCGCCCTGACTCTTTCGAGGCTCAAATATCTTGTGCGCATCGCTAATCCTATGTCTTGCCCCCCCCCCCCCCCCCTTGTTCGAGTGTTGATCGACGCCACGTGGGGGGCCCCCAACACCTGGTCCGCCATGTTGGCCTCTGGCCTCGATTGGCTCAACGAGCGCACGGATCCCGCGCACAGACCGGGGGGGGGACCACAGGGGTGGGTGGTTTGACAGGCTGCGTCACAGCAGGTCCGATTTCAAATCGGCGGTTGGAGCTGCGTCGAAGCGTGCGGCGCAACTCTGGCAAGACAGGTGCAAGCTTGACTCGTGGCAGAGGCAAATCATGTAGTGTGCTGTGGGCACGGCGCTTGCTCCCCCCCCATCCCCCCCCGCTGGCCCTTTATCTTTGCTACGAGTGTGGCTTCACCTCCTCGTCTCTCAGGCAGCTGCGGAGTCACGAAGCCAAGGTGCGCAAAAATGGAGGGGTGTCACCCGAACTGCAGGTGGTTGGATCGGTTTGCCAGGTGGTGCATGATCGACTTTCGTGACAATCCCAGACTCGTGAAGCATATGCATAGGAAGGGTAAGTGTTGGCAGGGGCTTTGCGAGTGGAATCACGCCCCTTCCCGCGATAAAGTCGCCCAACAGGTTGAAGATCGCAGGCGCACTCAGCAGGCCAATCGCAAGAAAGGGCTCCAAGACAATTACGCGGCGCTGCCCGCTCGCAAGGTCGTCGGCCCCGCCTTGCCGCAGCCTGCCCTGGGGCCTCCTGCCCCCGTTCAGGTGCCCGAGGTTCCTGGTGATGCCCCCCCCCCCGCCTCTTTTGCCGCGCCCTCCCCCCCCCCCCCCCCCCCCCCCCGCCTGCTCAACGCGCGGGGTATGTTCTCCATCTCTTCTCGGGTCATCGGAGAGAGGGGGATTTTCAGATGCAGTTTGAGATGCTTCTTGAGCGGTACCCGATGCGAGTTTACGTTTTGAGTATTGACGTGACCCACAATGCTGTTCAGGGAGACCTAACGTGTCAGGATACTGTGATCACATGGATGCATCTTCGGATCCAGGGATACGTTGTTGGCATCTTGGGAGGGCCCCCGTGTGAAACTTGGAGTGCCGCGCGGCATTTAGCGGTGGATGGCACGCGCCATCCACCGCGTCCCCTCAGGGCGCCCGAACAGTTGTGGGGGTTCCCATTCTTGTCCCCCCGCGAGTATTGCCAGGTCCAGCTTGGAAACGATCTGCTCCGCACTATGGTGCTCTTCATGTATCAGGCGTGGAGACATGGTGTGCCTTGCATCATAGAACATCCTGCTCCCCGTCCCGCTGACCCAAGCATCCCCTCGAGCTGGTACTTGCCTGAGCTCGTCTCTCTCGCCCGCGCTGAAGGGGTCCACACGGTGGACATTGATCAGTGCCAATATGGCAGCCCCTCCCTCAAACCCGCTCGCCTTCTCGCGGTTCATTGCTCTGCTCTCCGTTGGCTGGTGGACTGCAAGCCGAGGAGGGGAAGGTGTGGGGGGTGCGCCCATGTCAGCCTGCAGGGACTAGGTGGCAGGCGTCAGTGGACGACAGCTCAGGCTAAGGTCTATCCTGAGCCTCTTTGTCGCTTGCTCGCCTCCGCTATGCTCTCTGCCATCCACCTGGCCTTCCCATCCTGTCACGGGTCGTGTGTCGATTGGGAGCTCCATGAGTGGGCTGCGGATTTCCTCATTCCGCTCGACCGCTACATGGATCATGCCATGGCCAATGACTGCATGGCTCACAGGGATGCTGGATAACGGGGGCTGTCCTGCCCCGCCCCCCCTCGTGGGGCGCGGAGGGTGTGCTCGGGTCGTGGTCCGCCTTTTCCCTCCCCTCTGCACGTGCATGTGTTTCACCTTTTCCGTCTTTGCTCTTCTCTGCTCCATCTCTGTACAGGCTACGAGCGTTACGCCTTACGACCGACCGACCGACCGACCGAGGAGGAGCAGGAGGAGGAGGAGGAGGAGGAGAAGGGGCAGGGGGAGGAGGAGGAGGAGGAGGAGGAGGAGGAGGAGGCGGAGCCGGGGCCCGGCTGTGCGCGCGCCCGGCCGCGGGATCGGTTCTGAGCAACGTTTGGCCTCCGTGGGCCCTCAGCTCAGGAGGGGGACAAACACACAGGCACAGTGAAACGTCGATTCCCAGGAAGGTATGGGAAAATCTGGGAAGTGGGGGGGGAAGGCGAAAATCCAAAACAGATCGGAAAATATCGGGAATCCGGTTATTTGTGTGTATTTCTTTGTGTGTCTTTAGGCCCTTTCATCAACGGCGGCGAGCGAGGGGGGGAAGTGAGGAGGATTTAAGTCGGGCCTGTCCCTCTGCAGGAGGGATCTTCAAAAATGGTGAGAGAATAGTCCAGGGACGATGTTTCTATTCCTTGTTTCAGGCATGTGGGGGGTACTTTTCGACTCTTTGTTCTTTTTCGTCCAAAGTGCGCCTGTAGAGGGACATGCATGCCCGACCTAAGCCCAGCCGTGCGCGCGGCCGCAGGATCGGTCTTGGGCAGCTTTTGGCCTCCGGGGGCCCTCAACGTCGGCGAGCGAGGGGGGGGAAAGTGAGAAGGAGGAGGCTTCAGAGGGCGGTGAGGCTTTTCAGAGGCCCTCCAGCCTTCTGCGGGGCGTTCAGAGCGCGTTTTTCTGGGGAAGGCCTAAAGAACACTTCTCAGCAGGCCGGGGGGCTTCTGAGCCCTCTGGAGAAGGCCCGCCCCTTCTCCTTCCCCCCCGGGCTCGCCGCCGAGAAATGGGCACGAAGAGTACGAAGGCCGTCAGCATGTGTTGATCACTCTGAACACGGCTTGCTGTCGGCGCCGCGGCGGCTGTTGTCCCCTCTGGGGCAGAAGGCTGCCTGGCCAACGGCGGCAGCCGTCGGCTTCGACAATCTGCTGTTGGGCAGCGTCACCCGATGTTCCATACTACTGGCCAGCAGGCGCCTCGGGATGAAACGCTGGTCCCCGGGAAGAGGGGGCCCAGATCTCCCGGGGGGGCCACGCTGCGAGCAGCGCCGCGGCGTCGGGCGTCCGGGCTCGCCGAGCAGCGGTGTCGGGAGGAGAGCAGCAGTAGCAGTGCAGATCCACCTCGTTCTCCCGCCTCCCCTCCCCCAGAGAGGGGGAGAGCACTCAAGAGTAGGAAGGGCGAGGGAGGGGGAAGGCGGTGGATCTGTTTCATGGAACGTTCGATTCCTCGATTCCCATTGCAGGTGTCCTTCCGGTGCGGTCGGGCGTCGCTTGTCCAGCTCGCGTGGCAGTGGCGTTCTGTCCGTTCGGGCGAGGCAGGGCAGAGAGAATCGGGAGGAGGAGGAGGAGGAGGAGGAGGAGAAGGAGGAGGAGGAGGAGTTGGTCCGCATCTCTATGCGATCCTCGCTCGGGAGTGCGTGTCCGATGCTATTGTTCTGGAGTCCAATCGCTAAGCGACCCTCGCTCGGGACAGGGGCCCGTGGCCAATCTGGAATGGGTTTCATAGGCCCGCCTGCGTATCCGCCCAGTCAAAAAGTGTACACATACACCCTCCCATGGTTGTCCCTGGGTCTCAGGAGAGGGTGGCGGTGTATAAATCACCACCGAGAGCCAGTGACTGTATACACCGCCACCTCCCTGCTGGATGAACGTGCTCAATTCGTCGGAGGGTGCCTGTGTATGTATTTTTTGTGGCGTACTTTGCCCCCCCCCCCCCCCCCACCCCCCCCCCCCCCCTGAGGAGATCTCGAGAAGCCACGGCAAGCACTACAGGCCGCAGTTCGAGGCAGAGCCGGCGCCGGCGGCGCAAGGCCAGACGGTCAAAATCGCAGGGCTTCTTTCCGCCTTCCCTTTCGTTCTCCCCTTGCCTTTCTCCCCCACCTCTGCTCTCTACCCCTCCCCTCCGCTTCCCTCCCGTCCCCTTCCTATCCCCTCCGTTCCCCGCCCCTCCCTATACCCCCCCCCACTCCCATTCACTCCCGTCCCCTGCTGGGGCCCCCTCCTGGATTGGGCTTGTGAGAGGGGTGTTGCCGATCACGAGGACGACGAGGGTGATGAGGGTCAGCGAACCGAGGATGCGAGCAGGAGGACGGTGACGATGACGACGAGGAGGGTCTCAAAGGACCGCGTCTTACCAGGAACCCCTGGTCTGCCTCAGAACCCCAGTTATTCGGGAGGGGGACCAGGGGGGGGAATGTTCATACAGTCGGGGCGTTGACCTAAGGAACCCTAAATAAGGAACGAGGCCCCTTTTCCCCATAGGTTCAAACTTCGATTTTCCATGGAAGACCTCAGGAAAACCCAAGGCAAAATGTAAAACAATTAAGGGACACCGAGCCCCTCCCCAACGAAAAGGGTTCCTTCTTCAGGGCCCCAACTGTATGTCGTTGAGTATTCTGGGAATCTGTACACATGTCGTTTTTGTTTGTGTTTGGCGCGAGTTCGTCGTGGATTCGACGAGGATTCGAGGGGCACTGAACGGTCGACCCATCCGACGCGGCACCGAAGCGGGCAGCGGCGCGACGGGACAGGCGAGGCCCCCTGAATCTTCGGCATGGCGGGAGGGAAGCGGGCGGACGGAGGGGGGGGGGGCGGCAAGGGAGCAGCCGAGCCGGGGCAGGCAGGACGGAGAGCAAGGGCAGATCCCGCAGGCGGCTAGGCCAGCGCGAGGGCGGCCCAGGGCGCCCTGCGGCTCGAGCACCCCGGCGGTTGCCGAGTGCCTCCGGGCGCAGCTGTCGGCGTCGCGGCGGTCTTGGAACGCCCCGTGAGCGTTCCCGGAGCGGCCGCGCCCGAGGCGTTCTCTCTGGACCCGCCCGCTCTCAGTCCGGAGGGAACGAAAGCACGGAGACACCAGGACTCGTCGATTCCCAGGGACATATGCGAACATATGGGAAAGGGGTGGGGGGGAAGGCGCACAAGTTCAAAACAGATGGCAACACATAGGGGATCCTGCTATTCGTGTGCATTTATTTGTGTGTCCCAGGGCCCCTTCACTCAAAGATCCCCCCTCGTCCGGATTTGTCCTCGCATCCTGCCCTTGTCTTGCTGAGCTGCCGAGGCACACGCATAAACGGCCCTCCCTGGGGCGGTTCCCCATCGACGCGACGACGTCGGCTGTGGCCGTGCTCTCCTGTGTCGTGCTGTGCCGTGCCATGCCATGCATCGCGTGCCCTCCTGTGATCATTGCCCCGTTCGATGTTCGACATGCGACTGTGCGAAAAGAGGAGGATATCTGCGCAAGGGTAAGGGATGGGAGGGAGGGGTAAGACGGCAGATGTGACTCAGATGTGACGCTTGTGCACCTACCTTGCCCCTCCCCCTCTCCCTCGCGCTGTCACCCCTTGCTCTAGGAACAAAAAATACCCATGCAGAGCACCCTCAAAGTGGCCGCCCATGCCAAGAAGCACCATACGTTTCGCCGGGGTGCCTTTTGTTTGTCTGGTTCGCGTTCGGACTGAAGGCTTGCAGCGGCGGCGAAGAAACCGCAGCTGGCAGGGTGCCCTGAGTGTCTTGACGCTGAGATGCCTTGCGCGAGCCATCCCAAAACCGCCTGACCAAGGGTACCCTAAGTTTCTTCGCTGGCAGCCGCTAGCCATGACATCCACCCCTGGCCCAAGAAACTTGATGTTCAGGATTGGGTTTCTCGCAGTGGGTCCCTTGTGGGCATGGGTCTTAGCCCTGAACTGCAATACCAGCAAAGTTGAAGAGACGGATCGAGGAGCTTTAGGTTGGCTGCAGGAGAGAGGGGTGAGAGCACGGCCATGTCCACTTGAATGTTTTACAAGGGATCGTGGCCATCCGGACCAAACATGCAGCCGGCGCTGAGGCGAGAGTACGATTCCCGAGTACAGTGTGAGGAAGTCTCAGGCGAAATTGTTGCTGGGCCAGGCGATCTACAGTCAGGTAATTAATCATTCACGCTTCGCGTAACCCCACCAGCCCATCTAGAGACGATGCCCAGAAAAGTTGCCTCGATCAGGGAAGTGGGCAGCAGATCGAGGAAGGGTCCCTCTTGGAGCGCTCCTGGGGGCCTCTTGGCGGTCGCGGTGGCCTCTTGGAGCGTCTTGGGTTCCTCTTGGGGCCTCTTGGGCCCCTTGGGGGTCTCTTGGGAGCCTCTTGGAGGCCTCTTGGGCGCCTCTCGGGGCCCCCTGGGCGCCTCTTGGGGCGCTCTTGGGGCGTTCTCGGGAGCCTCGGGATCGCTCCCAGGGCCATATTTGAGGAGATCGTTCAAAAAAGGGGGGTCAGCTTTAATCACGATGCATAACGCAAGTAGGCCAAATTCGTTGAAATTCCGGTATGTTTTGCCCGATGTTGGCCTCTGAGCCGCCTCCTGGGAAGGTGCCGTGGCCACTTGGAGCCGTCTTGGAGCGGTCTTGGGGCGTCTTGGAGCATCGCCATTTGGAGCCATCTTGAGATATCTTGAGCCATCTTGGAGGTCATCTTGGGCCCTCTGAGGCCCTCTTGGAGCCATCTTGGGCCATCTTGGACGCTCCAACGACTTGCGAACGCCCCCCCCTCAGGTCCAGGGGAGGGGGTAGGGGAAGGGGTCAAGAAACCCACTGGATAGCAAGCCGTCTAGCTCATTCCCACCCGCCCTCCCAACACATGAGTAACACCCGAGCCTGAGCATGTTCAGCGGTCGTCTTTGGATGGGCAGCTACTGGGATCCAACACCGACCCCATGTGCGCGACGCTGGGCGAGGTGCGCCACGTGTGCCAGGCGCGCCACGCGCGCCAGGCACCCCTGTGGCCCGAGTGTGCCAGGCACGGCTGGTGCGCCAGATGCGCCACGTGTTCCGTGTGCGCCAGGTGTGCCGCATACTCCAGCCGCGCCAGGTGCGCCAAGTTCGGGGCAAGTGCAGAGTGTGTCAGGTGCGCCTGCGCACGTGACAGCACACATCGGGAAACATGCCGGCCCCTCCATCCAGTCGAAAGCCAATGCCCATCATTGTGTCTGGTGGGCCTGCGCACAGCAGGCCATACGCCACCACCACCACCGTCCTTGTCAAAAACTATTTGACAGTGATCGCGGGGAGGCCGCGCATGATCCAGATTTAGCCTAGAGGTGCATTTTGTATTGTTTGTTGACAGGACTGGTGAGCCCTGCGCACAGCAGGCAATATGCTGACACCCCCGCCGTCCCTGTTTAAAACAATACAAAGTGCTCGCGGGCCTCACGAACATGACTCAAGACTTTGCCTCAAAGTGTACTTTGTATTGTTTTTTGAAACGGATGAGGGGGGACGCATCGGGTTGGCCGCGCATGCTCCAAATGTGGAGGCAGAGTGCGTTTTGTATAGTTTTTTGACATGGATGATGTGGGGGTGAGCATGGTTCCTGGTTGGCGCCGGTCGCCTGGGGGAGGGGGTGTATACTAATATGGAACAGTGATGAACCCCTCCCCGAAAGGGGAAGAAGGTGGTTGGAAGAGAAAGCTCTCTAGATCACCTACGCCCAGAGGGCCGGTGGGATGTGCTAGTGCGAGTATAGACGGACACAATTTGTCAAAACTAATTGTAGTCATTCTAATGACTAGATTCAGGCCGTGGTGTAGGCTCTTCTCGCTCGAGCTGCACAGCGACCCAGCGGCCGAGCGACCGAACGACCGACGACGATGACGACGTCGACCACGAACGACGACGACGACGTCCAACCGACCGACCGACGGAGCGAGCGAGCGAGCCACGACGACGACGACGACGACGATGACGAGGACGACCGACGACGACGACCGACGACGACGACGACCAACCGCCCGACCGAGCGATCGACGACCACGACCACGCCAATCGACCGACTGGCCGACGGAGCGATCGCCGACGACGACGACGTCGACCTTCGGTGACTACCAGCAGACAACGACGACGGCAACGACCACCGACCGACCGACCAACCGGCCAACGACGACGGAACGACGAAGACGACGACCAACGGCGACGACCGACGGACGACGACGACGACGATACTCCGACCGATCAACAACGACGGACGACGACGTCGACGACGACGCCGCTGTAAAATTCTAGACGGCCTGGCCGACCGCGACCGGGCGGGGTCAAATCCTAGAACGCTGGGGCCCAGTCAAATTCTAGAAGAGAGCGCTCCTAGGACTCGGCCCCCCCCCTCCCCCTCTTCCCCTCCCCCAGAGTTTGGGTTCCGCTTGTAGTAATATATACATGTTTATATATGTATATATATATATATATGTATATGTATATATATATATGTGTGTATAAGGATAAGGGAGGGGCGGTTGCAGGCGAATGTGCCTTTCGGGGTCCGAAACCTGCAACAACTTTTTGGTTTTGAGATCACCCGCTGGGGCCGAATGAACACGAATGAACAGCCAATGAATCCCCGAATGTACCAGCATGTACCCCCGACTGAACCCTCCCCAACGCCCCCGATGGACCCCGACTCAACACTCCAGACGTCTTCGTTGGTAGTCGGGCGTCGGTGTGGTTCGTCGTTGTCGCTAGTCGTCGTTCGTCGGTCGTCGTTCTGAGTCGGTCCAACGGTCGTCGTCGTCCTCGTCGTCCGTTTCTTCGGTCGTTTTGGCTACGGATGCATTGAGGTTGAGAACGTGATGTCGGACCCAACATTTGCAGGAGGGAAAGAAACACACAGACACAATGAACCGTCGATTCCCAGGGAAATATAGGAAACTATGGGAATTGGGGGGGAGACGAGAATCCAGAACATATGAGAAAAGATGTGGAATCCTGGGATCTGTGTGTATTTATGTGTGCGTGTCCCTGGGACCCCCTCACATCTGCCCGATGCGATATGCCCATGACCATCTCACTGCCAACAGTAGTCAACTGGGCTATAGGGCGGATGCGGTCCCAGACTCCACGCGCCCCCTTTTGTGAGACTTCTTCTTGTGTTTCAACCATCACCCATCGGTCGCAGATTCCCAGATTTTCAGATTCCGAGATTCCCAGATTCCCAGATTATCAACAGTAGGTATATTTGGATTCCCAGATTCCAGTCTACTCCAATAAGCGTCTCCCTACTTCAACGATCGAGTGGCTTCACCTGTTCAGTCCTCTTTGAGGGGGGGGCGGGCGGACACCCAACCTCCTTTCGACGCATTCCTACTTCATGTTTCTACATACTTCTTCCGGCCGATGAATCTGATTCCAGACATCATAAAATGGGGGGCTCTATTTTTGTTGAGGAGATTTGACGGGCCTCGTTAAACAGCATAGTTTGGGGGTCTCGATGCTGGGCCCGCTGTAGCACCGCTTTAGGTCCCAGACGCGCTGTCAAGCATTTTTTCCCAACCATCCTGTGGTGTTGGGTCCTCGGTTTGAAGAGACGGTCCCCGCGTTCCACTCCTCCCCTTCCTCCTCCTCTCCCTCCTCCCTCCTCCCCCTCCTCCTTCCTCCCGGCGTTCCACCCACCCAGTACAGCGCTTCGTGGCCCCATATGGAGCTCTTCCGAAGGTTCAAGGTCTACCGCCCGCATGCGTGCCCCCCCCACACAGTACAGCGCTTCGTGGCCCCGTAGGGAGCTCCACCGAAGGTCCCAGTGCTACCGCCCGCATGCGTCCTCCCTACCCAGTGCAGCGTTCGTGGCATAGGGAGCTCCACCGACGGCCCCAGTGCTACCGCCCGCATGCGTCCCCTCCACCCAGTACAGCGTTCCGTGGCCCAATAGGGAGTTCTACCGACGGACCCAGTGCTACCGCCCGCATGCGTCCCCCCCCCACCCAGTACAGCGTTTCGTGGCCCCAACGGGAGCTCCACCGAAGGTCCCAGTGCTACCGCCCGCATGCGTCCCCCCCACCCAGTACAGCGCTTCGTGGCCCCCTAGGGAGCTCCACCGTCGGCGACAGTGCTGCCGCCCGCATGCGTCCCCCCCCCACCCAGTACAGCGCTTCGTGGCCCCGAGGGGAGCTCCACCAAAGGTCCCAGTGCTACCGTCCGCATGCGTCCTCCCTTCCCAATACAGCGTTCCGTGGCCCCATAGGGAGCTCCACCGACGGCCCCGGTGCTACCACCCGCATGCGTCCACCCACCCAGTACAGCGCTTCGTGGCCCCGAAGGGAGCTCCACCGACGGTCCCAGTGCTACCGCCCGCATGCGCACCCTCCCCACCCAGTACAGCGCTCCGTAGCCCCACAGGGAGCTCCACCGAAGGTCCCAGTGCTACCGCCCGCATGCGTTCCCCCCACCCAGTACAGCGCTTCGTGGCCCCATAGGGAGCTCCACCGACGGGCCCAGTGCTACCGCCCGCACGCGTCCCCCCCCACCCAGTACAGCGTTTCGTGGCCCCATAGGGAGCTCCACCGACGGCCCCAGTGCTACCGCCCGCATGAGTTCCCCCCACCCAGTGCAGCGCATCGTGGCCCCATAGGAAGCTCCAACGAAGAACATTGTCACAATTACGGTACCGATAACTGCATATGGTTGGGTCTCTCGCCAGGATAATTTTCACCCGCCCCCCGCTTCTGTGGGATCTGGAGTAGGAGTAGAGTCCTCCAGTGAAGCGTCATGCGGGGACATGTGCTGGTGGCGCCTCGGGCGCCGCCCTTGGCGTGCTCCGCGCGCCGGAATGGGGGGTCCAGCGCCGCTCCAAGAAATCCGCGCGGACATCAGCGAATTCGTGTTTGTTTCGTGTCGACGCGGCGGCGACGCCAGCGCGAGCGCTCGAGGCGGAGCGCCGTCGATGGCCCAGACCCGGCCAGCGTCGAACGATCTACGCTATGGGAAGGCCGCGATCGTTTGAAGCTGGAACGGTCCACGAGATGTCAGGATGCACCGCGCCAGCCGTCATGACGTGAACCTACCGTGCTCTTCTCCTGCGTGTCTTCTTCCTCCCATCGGATAAGAAATTCTACGTGCACGCACATATGATGTCGGAGTTCCATTCAGAGTGACGGGTTCCAGCGCCAACCCAAGAAGTCCAGCGTGTTTTTTCGAACGTGTTCACGCTTATGTAGTTTGCGTTCTCATACCCCATCCTTTTACCATGTTATCTAGCTGCGACTCCAGCACGCAGCTCGCTTCTGTCTGGTGACGCCAGCTTTCGTTGGCGTTCTAGCTCTGGCCCTTCTGGCCATTTTTCAATCGCTGTGTCGATCGTGCGCTGCTCTCTTGCCGTACTGCTCGCCGGACCAAGCGGTGACGCCTGCGGCAAAAGGGAAATCTTGCCCATCGCGAAGGGGGCGTACGGAGTATGTACTCCTGCAATAGGGGGGAGAGGCGGAGGGAGAGGAGCAGGGGGAGGCAGGGAGAGGAGGAGAAAGAGGAGGAGGAGGAGGAGGAGGAGGAGGAATAGGACGAGGAGAGAGGCTTGCACAGAGGAGAGGCGCAGGACAGCGCGTGCCAGGCCGATCGCGCACTCCTCAGGGAGTCGAGAATGCCTCGTCTCCTCCATCTTCCCTGCTCCTCGATCCCTATCCCTCGTTCCCTCAAACACACACAAAATAGATGCATGCTGTATATATATATATATATATATATCCCAGGGACATCTCAAGCCCTTCCACACCCGCGGGTGCACCACAGGGCTCTCATCCACTGCGACAGGAGATACCGAGTAATCCTCAGTACTCTTTGAGAGGCATGTCAAAGAGGCGTCCGACCGCGCCCTCGGTCCTCAGACTCAGCAGGACTCCGTGGATGTCAGCCAGACGAGCCATGCCTCCACCCCCCCCCCTGTAACGGATGGGATCGCACTCCGCGGCAGGCGGCGCACCCGAAGGGCGGATGCGAGGGTCGAGGAGCAGGCCGCCGGGCTCGGGCGGCGGCCGCGCGCGAGCGGCAGTCGCCCTCGCAGCTGCGGGCCCGGGGCGCCACTCCGCGCCGCGTGCCCGGCCGCCCTGACGATGGAGGCCCCTGCCAAGAGGCACCCTGCTTGTTCGCCAGGGTGAACCTGTGGGTTTCGATCGTCTTGCCACGGGAATCGTGGCGTGCCCACGCCAAACATCAATGGGCGCTCTGGGTCTCAGGGTTGGGTCTCTTGTGGAAGGTTTCTCGTGGTCGGGCCCCTACTGTATCGGGGGTGCGCAGAGGAGGGCCTGTCCCAAGGCGGGGGCTTCGGGAACGAGCTCGGCTGAAAGCTCACACTTGTCAGTATAGGAGGTGTCGTCTGGAACGGCTTCCCCGCAGCACCGCCTCTGCCACTGCCCCACTTTTGCGCACCCCCGCTTTGGTTTGGCCCTGAGCTGCTCGCTGTCGGCGGTGGAGGGGACGAGGCCTGTTAAGCAGGCGGCGCGGACTCGATGGAGCCGACGGCCGTCGCTGCGGGCGCGATGCGGGCCCCTCCCCTCACTCTTCGCCCGGCTTGTCCAGCACGGGTTGCCCAGGGCCCAGGCCAGGAGCTCTCTTCCGCAGGGCGCCAGCGGTTCGTTTGCCGGTTGAGCAAAAAGATCCGCGCGGCCTTCTCGGATGACGAAACGGAACGGGTGGCGGGGCGAAGGAGAGAGAGGATGGAATCTGAAGGTAAGGAGGGGGGGAGAAGGAGATAACAGTGCAGTGACGTCTCTGCTCTCTGGGCTGTGTCAACTGCGCGACCGTCGCTGCGTCTGCAAGCTTCTCCCGCGGAGTGCCGCGGTGCTCAGGCCCAGATCAGACTGGGACCTCGCCTCCCTGGGCGCTGCTGCCCTGCGCTCCTCTCACTGGGTGCTGCCGCCTGCGCAGCTATCTCCACTCTTTGCGAAGGCCACAGGTGGGGGGGGGGGGGGGCGCGGAGTGCCCAGGTCAGAGCGGCACCTCGCCTTCCTGGCTGCTGCTGACTGCGCAACGGTCTCCACACCTCTGTGAGCTGCTGGGGTCATCACAGCGGAGCGCCACCTTCCCTTATCTGAGTGGGACCTCGCCTCGGCGGCCGTCGTTCTTAGGAGCTCCTTGGGGGGGGGGGGGGTCGAGCGGAGTGTGGTGTCCTAAGACAGACCCAAAACGAGACCTCGCCTTCTTGAGTGTTCCCACTGGCGCAGCTGTCGCCGCTGTTCTCATCTCCTCCGCCTCTTTTCCCGCTGCCCCCCGTGAGCTCCTAAAAGTGGCGACGGCTGCGCGCATTTGGCAGCTCCCAGGGAGGCGAGATAGCATGGCGCCGATTGCGTAGTTTTTGTAAGAGTCACACACACTGTTGCAGCTCATTTGTTGCAACAAGAGCCCTTGGTTGCAAGATCGGTTTTGTGACGCACCCGCACGTCGCGACTGCATATTTTCGCACCGCCATGTGAGTGTCGCGCTGTGCCACTGTGCTGGGCTCGTGGCGACACGCAAAAACAAGCAGCAGCGACGCTAGGACCGGACACGGTGCCCTCGTTCGAGCACACGCCAAAGCAAGCAGCAGCGACGCTAGGATTGGGCACGGTGCCCTCGTTCGAGCAGGGCCTGCACGCACGGTCTCCTGCCCTGCTTGCCAGAGTGACCGGGTCGATGTGCCGCGGCCTCGCTTTCTGTTAGTGCCCTGGTCGGTGGCCGCCCGCGGGCGCCTGGTGGGCGTTCCGCACAGTGGTCGGGTGCGGCGGGGTTTCGTTCGGTGCCCGCCCCTGGCAGAGCATTAGACAGCATCAGACACGTGGCAGATTGCACCACATAGTTCGGATGCAACTCCTCAGAGGTTAAGTTCTGACTCTACCCTGGTGCGAAATCCCGCTTGATCCGAGGCCCACTCTGGCGTAACAGCCCCCCAGTGGGGCTTCATCCTCTTTGATTCTTCCGACGAACACCTCCCAGTAGTTGCCTCCTAAACATTGCCTGAACCACACGGATTGCACCACACAGTTCGCACCACATCGTCCCCACCGCGTGCAGCTCACCAAATGACGTACGCCACAAGGAGTGCACCGCACGGAGTGCACCAAATAGCTAGGACATGTTCGGGCCATGCAGTTTGCACCACGCCGGCCACACCCCACATCCACAGTTCGTCGTGGCACCACGTCTGGACAGGCTGGGGGGTCACGGAGCTTTCGAAGTTATTTCCGTTTTCGTGGGGCGCCGACGGGCCGTATTGAGGCCGTCCTATGCCCGTTGGGCTCCTTGGGCTGTTGTTTTAGATTGTGTCTAGGTCTTCACAGATGCTCAGTGACATCCCCATGGGAGTCTTTGGACAATTTGTAGCGGCTCGGACGCTGAGGCACGTTCTCCGAAGTTTGTGGCCCCTTGTGCTCTGGGTCCTGGTAGTAAGCAGCCGAATGAGGAATCGGGCTGTAGTATTTGTGTTCAGGCGTATCATTGGGATGGCTATGACTTGGTATATGTGGTTTGGGTCAGGCGTCTGGTTGCAGGCTAGGGGTAGGGTCTTAAGATTAGGGCGTGAGGTCATATGTTAGGAGGTTAGGTGTAGTGCTTCGGGTTAGGGGTATGGGGGTCTGGATTAGGGTTCAGGCGTCAGGGTGAAGGACACAATTTCGGATCAGGGTCGGGTTGGAGACTTTGCGTTAGGATGTTCGGGATGGTGTCTAGGATTAGGGTCAGCATGCGGGCCTTGCAGGTTTTTTGCGCCTGGCCGTGGGGCGGCCTCGCGGAGCGGGTCCTCGGCCGATTTCAGGTCATCAGAGCTTGCGGAAGAGCAGGAGCAGCAGGAGGATGAGGGAAGAGTTGTGGGTTGGCCTGGTTTGGAAGGAATTCATATCCGCGCTGATCGAGCGGCGAGTGAAGTTCGACCGTCAGCAGCTCTGGGAGTGCTTCAAGAAGTTCGACGTCCAGAGCACTGGCAAGATAACCTACCAGGACGTGAAGCGGGCGATGTTGCTCCGCTCCCGTTGCGGCCGAAGCCTCTCTCCCAATACATGCTATTGTTTTCATCGTCCTGCTTTTTCGCTCCTCCAGCACCTCCTTGCAGGGTTCATGTCGAGCCGATGGATCCGATCCGATGCCGACGTTTGCCAGCCCGATCCGGCTTGGTCTCGAGTCTGCGACGATCGGCTGCGGCCCGGTGTTTGCAAGGCTTGGTTGTGCATCGTGGTGCGCTGGAATCGGTTCAAGGTCGTCTTCACGCGTTTTTCGACACGATTCGATTTCCCGATGCGATGCTGGTGGATTTTGCACTCTAAGGCCGTGGGGGCCTCAACTGGGGTGCGCTCTCCACGGCGAGCGCCCGAATGAGGATCTGGCCTGTCAGGCCCCGAGACACCAGCAGTCAGAGGCAGACCGAGAAGTCCAAACAGTCAAACCAATCAAGTCTCTTCAACTCTTGGTAGTAGTTCTTTGCCAACGGGCGTTTCCTGGGAGCTGCTGCCTGCCGAGGTGACAGCGTCGTGGGCACCTAGATTTTATTGAATCGCTTCGCTCATTCCGCCGGCCCATAGTGTAGCGTCGCTGGCACTTGCTTGCGTGCTCGGGGGGGCATTTGGGTGGCCTCCTGGGGCCGCTTGGGGGCCTCTTGGGGGCCTCCTGAGGGCCTGTTGGGGGCCTCTTGGGGCCTCTTAGGGGCCTCTTGGGGCCTCCTGGGGACTTCTGAGGGCCGAGGGCTCGAAATATTGTTTCGTGTTCCCCCCCTGGGGTCCCTCTTGGGGCGTTCTTGGGGCCCTCTTGGGCCGTCTTGGAGGCCTCTTGGGCCGTCTTGGAGCCCTCTTGGGCCGTCTTGGGGCCCTCTTGGGGGCCTCTTGGGCCCTCTTGGGGCGGTCTTGGGGGCCTCTTGGGCCGTCTTGGGGTGTCGTGAAGCCGAAAAGGTGGAAACGCCAAAATCTCTCCAAAACCTAAGGAAAAGCAGTGAATTTTGCCTCTTGGGGCCCTCTCGGGAGTGCTCTTGGAGGCCTCTTGGGGCGTCTGGGGGCCATCGTGGGCGTCTTGGAGCGATCTTGTGGCATCTCGGACCCCTCATGTAGCATCTTGGGGGCCTCTTGGAAGCCTCTTGGCCCTTCTTGGGGCTCTCGGGGACGTCTCGGAGCCGCGTTGGTGCGCTGCTGGAGCGCCCTGGTGACTCCTCCCGGGACTCTCTCGGGACCTTGCCGGGGTACTTTCCGCCCGGGGGCCCCCAGGGGCCGCCCCGCGCGCGCGAAGTAGAAAGATTGTAAAGCAGTCACCGGAGATCTTAGCACGCCTCTGGCCCGTTGGGCCGGCGAATTCCCCACTCAGTGCTTGCACTGAAGGGGTCCTCGCGGATGTTGAAGGATTTGGCGAAAGTTTCCCGCCGATTCTGGTTGCTGGCTGGGTTCCCGGGTTCCCGTTTCTGGGTTCCCGGGTTCCCCGTTCGTGTTCCAGGCTGATTTCGGAGGGCGGCGAGGTTCCGGGTTCCCGGGGTTTTGGTCGATCTTCTTATCGATCGGTCTCACCATCGGTCTCATTACCCACTTCACCATCGATCTCACAATCGATCTCATTATCGATCTCACCAGCGATCTCACTAGAGATCGCATGAGCGATCTCGCGATCGATCTCACAATCGATCTCTCTGAATCGATTTTACTCTCGTTCTCATGATCGACCTTACAATCATCCTCACTATCGATTGCGCTATCGATTTCATTGTCGATCTCACAATCGATATCAAGATCCATAGTATTAATTTTCAAATCATCCACTGATTGGAGTTTTCTCAGGTGTAATTTTGTACCAAGCCCAGCATGTGCACAGGACTTGATTCCAAGCGCTTCACGAGTGCTGACCACTGCATCCAACCTATATATAATCTTTAGAGCCAATGTGAGCTGGTGGGGGAAAGCGATGTGATCTGTCGAACGTGGTTGTTGGTACCTGTTGGGGTAGCAATGGTTCGCCTTGTTATATTGAGTGTGCTGGCTTTGAAATATTGTGATTCTTTGTGGCCTCCAGCTGTTGGAGTCTTGGGTTTTGGCATGCCCGATTCGGCCGTCGCAGCGTAAGTTCCAGTTCCAGCTCCCCATCTGCCTCCTCATCCTGCGCCCTCCCCCCTCCTCTGCAGTCTCATCCCCGTCATCATCCTTCCCTCCTCAATCCTCTCCTGTCCCCTCCTCGTCCTCCTCCACCTCCTCCTTCTCCTGCACCTCCATCTCCTCTTCCTCTGGCTCCTCCGCCTCCTCCTCCTCCTCCCCCTCCTCCTGCTCCTCCTCCTCCTCTCCTTCATCCCTTGTGCATAACTTCTCCCCGTCGCACCCCCAGGCGTTTCCGTTGGGTGGGCCCGGCGTTCCGCTTGGGTTCCCCTCTGGCATTGATGATCCTGCAGCCTGAATTGCGCAGCAGATTCACGGATGGAAGGCGGGTGGTTTCCAGCATGTGCGGTTAAGTCGGGCTTGTCCTTTGTACAGGAGGGAATATTCCAAAATAGTCATCAAAAAATAGTCAGGGGACGATTGTTCATTTTTTGTATGTTTTGGATACATTATTACTATTTGTAGCTTGTCGTCCAACATCCCCCTGTAGGGGGACAGGCCCGACCTAAATGAGCGGTTCGCTTTAGCACTGCGCACATTTGCCTGACAAGTTTGCAACACTTTCTCGAATAGATGGCAGGTCGTTTTCAAGATGGGGTTATCGCTTTTAGCGCTGCGCATGGTCTTTGCAAAAGATTTCAACAGCTTCAAAGATGCAGGCTTGTTCCTTTTTTCAAAAGGTGGCTCTTGCCTTAGCCCCGCGCTCATTCTTTTTCAAAGCTTGCAACCGATTCACGGATGGAGGGCGGGTGGTTTTCAAAATGCGGTTCTGGCCTCAGCGCCGCGTGCATTTTCTGTTGAATTGTGCACCAGTTTCAGGCATGGGAGGTGGGGCCATCTATGTGGTGCAATATATGTTGTGCAATCTACGTTTCGCAATTAAGTTTGAAAGACTTGGAGTTGTCAAACCCTGTGTTCACGCAGTCATCCCACCCACCCACCCACACGCAAATTTGCTTGCAAAACCCATGCGATGGCGATTGAGATGACTGGTTGGTGATGGCTTGTGCATCTCTGCGGCAGCTCTAGCCCGCGCATGCTCTTGCAGACAGCGGCCAGCTATTTTGGCGCGGCCGACGCGACCGCGGTGGCGCTGACCGCTGGGCACTTCCCAGCGCGTTTCACAGGCCGCGCGGACGCGCGGGCAGTTCAGTGCAAGTCGGCTTCTTGGACGATGATGAGATTAGCGGTGGCCGTGGCGATGGTGACGACGACGGCGGCAAGGCCATTGACGGCGCCGGCGTTGATCACGCCGATGACGATGATGGTGTCCCCGCGTTGGTAATGAAAACGTTGGAAGGAGTTCGACATGCGCGCGCGGCCGACGCGTGCGAATGGCCCGCAAGTCATTATTACATACGGACCGTGGCCCCCCCCAGCACGCGCGCAATGACGTTGGACTGATTCCGATACGCGCGCGCGAAAAAAAAACCATTTGGTCACATTCGATGAACATTTTAGAAACAGAAGCGCGCTTTCCCGTAAGACTTCGCAGTGGCTCACGTGCGTGCAGACAGTGTTTTGCGAAACGGATGTTGCGGAGTTCTCTTGTCTTTTTCATACGTTCTGGGGACATTCGTTTCTGACATCCCCACGAAGTCTGGGGTTTTTGGAACATTGAGGATGCGCGCGCGACGGCGCGCGCGGGCGCAGATCATCTCACGTGTTGCAATTGATTCTTGGGCATTGATGGTGTCCGAAAAAAACCATTGCGCGCATGGTCTCAGGTGGGATGACAAACGCGCCTTCGGGGGGATGGTGGAGTGTGTTTTTCTCCTAGCTCGGAGAATCTACTTGTGAATACATGTTGCACACCATCTGGTGCAACAGGTGTTGTGCACCCGAGGTGGTGCAACCGATGTGGTACATTCTACACTGTGCAGCGCATGGTGTTTATCTTAGGCGGTGCAGCATATGCTACACAAGCTGCGTGGCGCATGTTATACAATGCGTTTTCTGCGGTGCAACATATGTGGTCCAATGCCTATGTTGCAATCTACGTGGTGCAGTCTACGATGTGGCGTTGTGCATATTCGTTGTGCACTCTATATGGTGCAACGCATGTGAGTGTGATGATATTGTGCGCCTAGTGCAACATATGTTGTGCAACCCACGCGGTTCAATTTTTATGTGGTGCGCTCTACGCGGCGAGTTGTTTAAACAATCGTGCTGACACATCCCATGCTTTTGCAATCATGCCACCCTCCCACCCGCAACTTGGTTTGCAAACCCATGCGGTGGCGATTGCGATGAATGTTTGGCGTTGGCTGGTGCATCTCTGCGGCCGCGCCGACCCAAGCGCGCGCGCGCAACGGCCAGCTAGTTCGGCGCGACAGACGCGAACGCGCTTGCGCTGACCGCTCGGCACATCCCAGCGGGCACTTCAGTGCGAACCGTTGACTTGGACGGGCGCGGTATCATGGCAACGTCGACAAAAAGGTAAACATGATGATGATCGTAGCGATGTTGGCGGCGATGATGATTGCGACGACGGGGCAGCCAGTGACGGTGCCGATGCTGGTCACGTCTTCGCGTCTTCGCGTGGAAAGAGTTCGACATGCGCGCGCGGCACACGCGCGAGCGTGGCCCGCATGGTGTGATTTGACACGGCTTGTGCCACACCAGCACGCACGCAAGTGCGTTCGAACGATTTCGACACGCGCGCACGCGAATCCCGGTTGGTAGTTTTTGTTTATGAACATGTTGAAAACAACCATGGTTTCCGGGAGAAATCGCAAACGCGCGCGAGTTTTTGTTTTGGGACATCCGTGTTCCGAAACCCTGTGTTTTTCTTGTTTGTTTTTTGTTTTTGACACTCGCTTTTGAAACCTTTACGGCGTCGAGCGTTTTCAAGGACTTCAGCATGCTCGCGCGACGACGCGCGCGTGTGCTTTTCGTCTTATGTTTGCATGGTATGTTTGAAAGCTCAGGATCTGTGATGAACGAGTGCGCGCGCATCGTATGTTCTGCAGAGGACGGCGGAGGGGTCGGTTGTGCTAGGATGGTACGAGTGCGTATTTAGGATGGACGATGTGACAGGACGCATGTCAACTACAATGCGAAAGGGGGGGTCGATAAACCCGGGGGGGAGTCGATTCTTTTTTTAGAAGGGGAAATCACCTTGCCGAACAGGAAGTTGTCGACTCCACTGCTCGCGCAATCATCCCACCCATCCACCCGCAACTTGGTTTGCAAAACGCATGCGGAAGCGATTGCGATGAATGTTTGGTGTTGGCTGGTGCATTTTTGCGGCCGCACTGGCCCGCCCATGGTCGCGTGCGGAGCGGCCAGCTAGTTTGGCACGACCGACGCGAACGCGCTGGCGCTGACCGCTCGGCACATCCCAGTTGGAACTTCAGTGCGAGTCGTCGAATTGGGCTGTCGCGGTATCATGGCAACGTCGACAACGGTAGACGAACATGATATTGACGATGTTGGTGACGATGCCGACAACGACGACCGGGCAGCCAATGACGGCACCGATGCTGATAACGCCGACGACGATGACGGCGTCTTCGCGCCGGTGATAAAACAGTTTGGGAAGGAGTTTGACATGCGCGCGCGGCATACGCGCGATAGTGGCCCGCATGGTGTTCTCTGACACCCCGTGCGCACGCAAGGGCGGTCGAAATATCCCGAGATGCGCTCGCAAAACCTGTTTGGTAGCAGTGCATGATAATGTCGAATCCCCCATGTTCCCCCAGAGAATTCGCAAAGGCGCGCGCGCATTTTTTCATGAAGCAGAAACCAGTGTTACGAAACCTCATTCGTTCTAGTTGATGTCAGGGCACTCGGTTTTGAAATCTCTACGACGTCGAAGGTTTTTGAAGGATTTGGGCATGAGCGCGCGACGACGCGCGCGTGCGCACTTCGTCCCATTCGTTGCACAGGGATATTGGAACATATACTTTTTGATAAAACGAGTGTGCGCGCATATTTTTTGCGCAGACGATGGCTGGGGGGGGGACGGACGCCGACTTGGCTGGGATGATACGAGTTTATATTCGGGTGGACGATGGGGCAAAATCATTTGTACATTGCAGTAAGAAAAAACTATATTAATGGTGGGTGTTATTGTCTTTGTGGAAATGAATATATAGGTTGCGCATACAACGTTGTGCCATATAACTTTGGCAATCTACTTGGCGCATTGCGCAGTGAGTCCCATGTGGCGCAAATTAGGTGGTGCAACATCTATTGTGTAACCCTGTTGTGCAACATGTTTTGTGGTGCAACATCGAATGTGCATTGTACATGGTGCAGTTTTTTTTTGTGTAGTCCATGTGGTGTCCCTTGCGGTGCGCGCTAAATGGTGCACCCAACGCTGTGCAATATATGCGGTGCAACCGTTGTGGCAATCTACGCGGTGCAAGGAATTTTGAACGCGTAGTTGATTGCCAACTGCATTGTTCGCGCAATCGCCCAAACCACTCGCCGGCCTCTTGGTTTGAAAACCCAAGCGGCGGCAATTGTGGTGCCTGCCTGGCGTTGGTTGGCGCATCGCTGTGACCGCGCTAGCGCGCGCAGGCTTGCGCGCAGAGCGGCCAGACGCGGCGTCTGTGGCGTTGTTTGTTGGGGACATCCCAGCGCGTTTAATAGGCCGCGCTGACGCGCGGGCACTTCAGTGCGAGTCGGTGAGTCGGGCGGGCGCGGTTTCATGGCGACGTCGACAACGGCAGACACGACGATGATTGCAGCGATGCTAGTGGCGACGATGACGATGACGACTGCAAGGCTAATGACGGCGCCGATGGTGATCACGCTGATGACGGTGATGGTGTGCACGCGTCGGTGATGAAGGCTTTGTTCGGATTTCGAAAAACACGCGCGGCCGACGGGCGCGAGTGGCCCGCATGGTGTTATTCGGCCGGGATCGTGCCCCCCCAGCACGCGCGGAACGGCGTTCGAATGGTCCGCGTGCGCGAGGGTACCGTTTGGTCACGCTTGATGAAAGCATTGAAAACCTTTTTGTTTGGAATTATCAAGGTCGCTCGCGCACGCATGTTTTCGAACACCGTGATTGTGTTTTGAAGGGTTTTCGGGACACTCTATACTGCATTCCCTACGACTGCCACGTTTTCAAAAGTATGTCTGCATGAGCGCGCGACAACGCGCGCGTGGGCAGCTCGTTTTTTTGGTTACAGAGCACCATTGAAACCTATAGCTTTTGAAACAAGCAAGTGTGCGCACAGTGTTTCTAGCAGAGGATGGTGCGTGGGGGACCGGTACTGGCTGGGATGGGATGGTTTTGGATTCCAATTTCGAATGAGCGATAAGACAGAATCGCCTATACTTTACACATCCTTAGGGCAAGGGGCGGGAATGCGACGTCGGCCACATTGCCGCCAGATGCGGCTCACACGACGGGCGGCGACGAGGCGGCGATGGGGCGGCGACAGCGTCCACAGCCGCCATTTTTCCGTGAAGATCGATCTCGCCATATCGTTGCGCACATTCACTTTTGTATTGTCTCAACATTTGCAAAGGTTCGTATGGTCGAACTCCCAGGAATGGTGTCCTGGCACAGTTTAGGACAGCAGTGACGTTTATTCGGCGTGTTGAAGTCCCAGGGGTGGTGTTACGATTTAGGACTGCCAGGACACAGCATTCACGTTGATCCGCGGCGTTGACGCCCCAGGAAACGGAGTTGTCAGACGATTGAGATTCTCAGACGACTGTGTTCTAATGGGCCACTGCCCACAGTGACCGCGATTTCTTCTTGGAACCTGTGAAGAGGAAACGTGGAGGGATGGATTGTCTCGGCTTTCTATTGGTCATCATCCACCTCCTCCTGGCTCCTGACGGCTGCATGGCAGTACAGACGAACCCTCTTCCTCCTCCGTCTCCTCCTTCTCGCTCCTCCTCCTCCTCCTTCCTCTCCTCGCTCCTCCTCGTCCTCCTCCTCCTGCTCCTCCTCCTCCCCAGCCTCCCCAGCCTCCCCCGCCCTTGGAGCGCGCGGGCGCGCGCAAGCGGCTGTCACACGCAGAGCCCCCCCCCCCCCCTCTCCGCGGCGGAGGTCCGGCTCCATCTCCGAGTCGGAGTGGCAGGACGCGGGCCGCCCGCCTTCCCGCGGGGGGGGAGGGGGGGGGGGAGGGGGCAGAGGTGCAAACGACGCGAAGATCGGGGCAAAATCGGATCGGGATAACTCGAAATCGCTGAGAATCGGCGGGTTTGGAGGATGTATTGGGCGCCGCGGCCGCTCCAGAGCGTTCCGGAACGCTCTGAGAGCGCTCCGGAACGCTCTGGAGCGATTTATCCCGATCCTAACCCCGTTTTAAGAGGGGGAGGGAAGGGTCGGCACGATCAGCGGCGGCGAGCGAGGGGGGGGGGGCGTGAGAAGGGGAAGGCCTTCTCAGAAGGCGGCGGGGCTTCTCAGATGGCCTCTGGCCTCTGAGAGGTTGTTCCGTGTCTTTTTGTTGGGGGAACATGTCCCAGAAGGCCAGCGGGCTTCCGAGGTTTCTGAGAAGGCCCGCCCCTTCTCACTACCCCCCCGGGCTTGCCGCCGATATCGAAATGGGTGCGGAAAGAATGGGTACGAAGACCGACGGTTTTTCCTGCTCAGTTTGAACAGGGCTCGCTGTCGGTGTCGCCGTGGACGTTGGCCATCTGAAACACAAGGCCGCTTGCCCAGCAGCGGCCGCTGTCGGTTTTGGATAACAGTTGTTGATAGGCATCGTACTTTTTTTTGTCCGCATCCACTTCGGGCGCCCAAGAAAGAGGGGATGGAAGGGGAGGGGGGCGAGAGAGGGGGAGGTGCAAAGTTTTCGGGAGGGGTGGAGGGAACATAGATGGGGATGGTAGATGAGGGGGGAGGGAGAGGGGGGATGACGGTTGGAGGGGAGGCGGAGGGTGGATAGGGGGGAAGGAGGACGGGGGAGGAGGGAATGGGATGGAGCAGGAACGGAGGAGGGGCGAGGGAGTCAGGAGGGAGGACGGAGGAGGTTGGAGGGGGCGGGGCGGGTGACCACTGACTGGCTGGCGCACTTCGACGACTCATTTTCGATGTGGATGATTCGTGTGGCGCCGCCAGTTAGGCGGCATGCTGGAAAGAGTCGGAGGAGGGACGCAGGCGGAGGGAGGAGGGGGCATTTGAGGGAGGAGGTTTTACCCCCAGGCCCGCGGCGCTTGCGGCGGATGCTTTGAGGCTGTGTCAGGCCGCCCGCGACGGACCAGTCCCACTCACCAGGACCGCCCGCGCTCGCGGTGCGCGCTCGACACTGTGACGAATGCTCGCAATCGCGGCGTGCCGCGATTTTGATGGGCCTGTGTTCCACCACCACCACCACCATAAGTTGGAGGGGGGAAGGAGGATGAGGATGAGGATGAGGAGGAAGACGAGGAGGAGGAGGATGAGGAGGAGGAGGAGGACCCCCTCCCCCTCCTACTCATGGTGGTGGCGGTGGATAGCAAACCCACCATATTTGGCTTCTCAGGCCCATGATTCACTCCCACATGCCCGCATTGGCAGGCCCCATGATTTGGGCAGGTACTACTACAACAAATACGACTGCTGCTGCTGCTGCAGCTGCTACTACTACTACTACTACTACTACTATTACTACTACTACTACTACCACTACTACTACTACTACTACTACTACTACTACTACTACTACTACTACTACTACTACTACTACTACGACTACGACTACGACTACGACTACGACTACGACTACGACTACTACTACGACTACGACTACGACTACGACTACGACTACGACTACGACTACGACTACGACTACGACTACGACTACGACTACGACTACGACTACGACTACTACTACTACTACTACTACTACTACTACTAATGTACAACCCTTTTCTTGTATGCTAGTCCCTCTTTTCGTCCCTCTCGTTTCTCTCCTATCGTTTCATAGTCCCTCGGTATCTCCCGCCTTCTTCTTTCTCCTCCTCCGCCATCCTTCGCTCGCTTCCATCTCCGCTCAAAGGCGTGAATGTCTGAGCCGTTTCAGCAGAAGCCTGCGTCCATCAGGCTCTGTTTAAGTGTGGCGTTGTTCTGACTACGTCTGGGTCCTGAATTTCCGAAATCAGCCTTCTCTTCCTCCGCCCGCCCTCATGCATCCATCTTCGTCCTGCTTCCCTCCCGCATTTTGCTGCTCCTCCTGCTCCCCCAGGCATTTGGAGCAGCAAGACGGGGGAGGGATGCCCAGCCGGTGGGAGCGCCCCCCAAGCCAACCGGCCCCAGCACCGCACAGGAGATCGCGGCCTTGCCCGGCAGGCCCGTCCAGCAGGCCGAGGCCCAGCCTCTTCCCGCCAGCCAGTTGGGCCGTTTCCGCGTTTCTTTCCCCGCGCCACCCCTCCTCGATTATGATGGGGATCATGATGACGATGGTGATGGCGATGATTATTAAATAATAATGATGATGATGCTGACGATGCGGATGACAGAAATGATGATTACGATGGCGACGACAATGACTATGCTAATGACGATGATGATGGTGATAGCGATGGTGATGGCGATGATGGTGATGGTGATGATAATGGTGAAGATGATGCCAACAATGGTGATGATGGTGAGTTTGATGGTGATGATGGTGATGATGTTGTCTATGATGTTGTTGCTGATGATGAGGATGGTGATGATGGTGTTGGTATTGGTGGTGGCAACGGTGACGATGACGATGCTGAGGAAGCTGGTGATAAGTATGATGATGATGATGATGCAGACCATGCTGATGCTGATGATGATGCGATGATGGTGATGATGATGATGCTGATGATGTTGATGACGACGGTGATGAATATGCTTATGCCGTTGATGATGTTGTGTGTAATGATGGTGATGATGGTGATGTCAATGATGCTGATGATGATGGTGATTGTGTGATCGAAATGGTGATGGTGATGATTGTGATGATGGTGATTTGTTTGTTGATGGTGCTAATGATGATGGTACAAATGCTAATGGTGGTGATTATGGTAGCGATGCTGATTATGATAATGCTGATTATGATGATGATGCTTGTGATGAGAAGGACTATGGTAATGGTCGTATCGGTGTCGATAACGTCGTCGATGATGATGGTGATGCAAGTGATGATGAACATGCTGATGATGGCGATGATAATGATGACGCTGAAGATGATGATGCGGCTGATGATGGTGATGGTAGTGATTGTAATGCTGGAAGTGATGTCGGTGATGGTGATGATGACGGTGATAGTGATGATGGTGATGATGGCGATGGTGACAGTGCTGGTGATGGTGATGCTGCTCATTATGCTGCTGATACTGATGATAGTGATGATACTGAGGATGACGATAGTGATGATTACGGCGATTGTAATGGTTGTGATTGTGATGGCGATGACTGTGGTGATGGTGATGATGCTGACCATAGTGATGGTGAAGATTATGGTGATGGCTATGATGATGGTGACGATGATGATCGTGATGCTGATGAGAGACGACAATGATGAGGAGGAGGAGGGGGAGAATGAAAATGATGAGGATGACGATGAGGACGAGGTCGAGAGTAATGATGCGGATGCTAATGATGATGGTGATTAGGCTGAAGGTGACGATGCTGATGATGGTAATGATGATGATGATGATGATGATGATGATGATGATGATGGTGGTGGTGGCGGTGGTGGTAGTCGTAATGACGGCGATGACGTTGACGATGTCGGTTGTGATGTCGATGATGATGATGATGATGATGATGATGATGATGATGATGATGATGATGATGATGATGATGATGATGATCATGATCATGATTATGACGATGACGACGATGATGACGCTGATGATGATGATGGTAGTGATGATGGTGATGATGGCGATGGTGATGGTGTCATGAAGGCGGTGATGCTGGTGATGATTGTGACGATGCTGATGGTGCTGGTGGTGATGATGCTGGTGGTGATGCTGATGGTGATGATAGTAGTGGTGGCGACAACGCTGTCGTTGACGATGACGATGGTGATGTCGGTGATGCCGGTGATGTTGATGATGATGACGACGATGACGATGTTGACGACGATGATGATGATGATGCTATTGATGATGCGGATGCTGAGATGACGAGTATGATGATGATAGTGTTGTTAATGGTGATGGTAATGATGATGGCTAGGATGTTGATGATGGTAATGATAGAGATGATGCTGAGTCTGCTGATGATGATGCTGACGATGATGGTGGTAGTGGTAGTGGTAGTGGTGACCACGATGGCGTTGGCGATGACGATGGTGATAATGATGCTGATCCTGACTATGATGCCGATAATAATGATGATAATGACGGCGGTCACGATGATGATGGTGATGATGATGATGATGTTGATGAAGATGCTGGTGACAACGATGCTGTTGATGATTATGTTGATGTCGATGCTGATGATGAAGAGGATGCTGATGAGGATACTGTCGACGATGGGGATGAGGAGGAAGCTGGGAGCCGAGAGTGAGGAGGATGAGGATGACGATGAGGACGAGGCTGCGGGTTAGGATGGGGATGCGGATGATTGTGATGATGATGCTGGTAGTGATGCTGATGACGATGCTGATGGTGATCATGATGATGATGATGGCGATGGTGGTAGTGGTGCCGACGACGATGACGTTGACAATGACGATGGTGATGACGATGATGATGCTGAGCATGATGATGATGATGATGAGGCTGATGGGGATGATGATGATCGTGATGATGGTGGTGATGGTGATGCTGCTATTGCTGCTGCTGATGATGACGGTGATGATGATGGCCATGATGCTGCTGCTGATGATGGTGATGGGGATGTTGGTACCGCTGCCGACGACGTAGACGATCACGATGATGATGATGATGATGATGATGATGCTGATGATGATGATGATGATGATACTGATGATGCTGATGCTGGTGAGGGTGATGATGACGATGCTTACGATGATTATGATACTGATCATGATCATGATCTTGATCGCTATCATGCTGCTGATGATTATGCTGATGATGATGGTGATGGTGATGATGCCGATGATGGTGATGACGATGCTGATGATGATTGTGCTGATGGCGATGATGGCCATGATGATAATGACGACGATGGTGATGCTGATGAGGCTGACGATGATGATGCTGATGATGTCGACGACGATTATAAGGAGGAGGAGGATGGGGGGGGATGCGGATGACGATGATGACGAGTGTGAGAGCGAGGATGAGGATGATGGTGATGGTGATGATGATGCTGGTGGTGGTGATTCTGATGATGATGATGCTGATGCTGCTGATGGTGATGGTGGTAGTGCTGCCGACGACGGTGACGTTGACGATGACGATGGTGATGCTCATGATGATGGTAATCCTCATCATGGTTATGGCGATGATGACGATGCTGAGTTTGGTGACGATGCTGATGGTGCTGGTGACGGGGATAATGGTGATGATGACGATAGTGATGATGGTTGTGAGTCTGCCGATGTTGCTGCTGCTGCAGATGATGACCATGGCGACGATGATGATGCTGATGGTGGTGATGATGTTAATGCTGATACTGCTGACAATGATGATGCTGGTCATGATGGTGGCAGTGGCGACGACCATGATTACGTTGTTGCTGGCGTTGGTAATGACGGTGATGGTGCTGATACTGACGATACTTGTGATGATGACGATGAGCACGATGATGATGCTGCTGATGTTGGTGGTGTTGATGATGATGATGATGATGATGATGATGATGATGGTGATGGTGATGGTGATGGTGATGGTGATGGTGATGAGTATGATGATGCTGACGATGATGATAGTGAAGGCGATGCAGACGATGATTATGTTGGTGGCGAAGATGATGATGAGGATGATGAGACTGCTGATGATGATGATGCTGATGCCGAGAAGGACTTGGAGGATGAGGAGGATGCGGATGATGAAGTGGACGAGGATGAGAGTGATGTTGAGGATGAGGATGATTGTGATGCTCATGGTGATGGTGATGATGAGGCTCATGATGATGATGCTGCTGAGAGATGGTTATGGTGATGGTGGCATTGGTGACAATATCGATGACGTTGACGATTATGTTGACGATGGCATTGATGATGACGATCATGATGATGTTGACGATGATTATTGCGATGACACTGATGGTGATGCTGATGATTATGCTGATGATGCTGATGATGGTGCTGTTAATGATGATGCTAATTATGCTGATTGGTATGATGATTATGCTGTTATTTATGATGATGGCGACGATGATAAGGATGCTGAGTATGATCAGGATGATGACGACATTGATAACGAGGACCATGCTGCTGATGATAATGGTGATGGTGAAGATGGCGATCCTGATGATGATGTTGATGATGATGATGTTGATGGTGTTGATGGTGGTAATGGTGATGATGATGGTGATGTTGATGCTGATAAACACTATGATGCTGCTGATTGTGGTTAGGTGATGGTGGTAGTGGTGGCGACGACGACCATGACGCTGACGATGACGATTGTGATGGCGATGATGATGCTAATGCTGATGATGACGATGACAGTGATGACGATGATGCTGGTGGTGATGCTGCTGATGATTGTGAAAACGATGATGCTGATGATGATGATTATGGTGATGCTCATGGTGGTGGTGGTGGTGTTGGTGTTGATGATGATGATGATGATGATGATGATGATGATGATGATGATGATGGTGAAGATGATTGTGATGATGATGTTTCACGATGCTGCGGATTATGGTGATGCTGATGATGACGACGAGGAGGAGGAGAAGGACGACGATGAGAGTGAGGATGCGGGTGATGATGACTATGCTGAGATTGAGAATGATGATGAGGATGAGGATGCCGATGATTGTGATGATGTTGTTGCTGCTGTTGTTGATGATGATGATTGTGGTGATGGTGATGGCGATGGCGATGGTGAAGGTTCTGATGACGATGGTGCTGGTGGTGACGGCGACGGTGACGATGGCGATGATGATGATGATTTATGATAATGACGATGATGATGATGATGATGATGATGATGATGATGGTGATGATGATGAGGAGGATGATGCTGAACAAGATGAAGGAGAGGCTTGCGATCATGATTGTGATATTGGCAGGGATGACGATGATGATGCTGATGGTGATGGTGATGGTGATGCTGTGATGGTGATGTTGATGCTGATGCTGATGCTGCTGATGATGCTCGCTGCTGATGATGCGGGGCGGGGAGGAGGGAGGTGGAAGGTGGAGGGAGGTGGAAGGAGGTTGCAGGTAGGAGGGAGGAGGGAGGGAGG